CCAACTCAAAAAAAAAAAAAAAAAAAGAAGGAAGTCCTGACATATGCTGAAACATGGATGAACCTTGAAGACATTACGTTAAGCAAAGTAAGTCAGACACGAAAATCATACAGTACGTACGATTCCACCTGTGAGGTACTTAGGGGCCAGGGGCCAGGATTTGGGGCATGATACAAGGTTTCAGTTTGGGAGGGTGAAAAGATTCTTGAGAAGGTGGCCATGTTTGCAGAACAATGTGAATGAACTTAATGCCACTGAACTGTACACCTTAACATGATTAAAATTATAAATTTTATGTCTATTTCACTACAAAAAGTTATGGCATATATACCAATGTAATCTCAACCTGAAAAAATAAAGCACAGAGAAACCCCAACAAGATGCCATTTTCGGCTGAGCTTGGTGGCTCAGCCTGTAATCCCACACCTTTGGAAGGCTGAGGTGAGCGGATTGCCTGAGCCGGTGGGTTCGAGACCCGCCTGGGCAACTTGGCGAGACCTCATCTCTTCAACAAATCAAAAATTAGCCGGGCATGGTAGCGCGCGCCTGTAGTTCCAGCTACTCGGAAGGCTGAGGCGGAAGGATTGCCGGAGCCCCGCAGGTCGAGGCTGCGGTGGCCGGAAGCGGCCACTGCACTCCAGTCTGGGCGACACAGTGAGACTCCAACTCAAAAAAAAAAGAAAATATATATGTACCAACAGAACTCCCTTGGGGGATCCAGAGTAGGGTGTAGAGCAGGTTTTGTGTCACCTTTGTCAAAAAGCAACTGTTGGCCAGGCACAGTGGCTCACACCTATAATCCCAGCACTTTGGGAGCCCAAGGGTTCAAGAACAGCCTGGGCAACTTGGCAAGACCTCATCTCTACAATAAAGCAAGAAAAATGAGCTGAGCATGGTGGCACATGCCTATAGCTCCAGCTACTTTGAAGGTTGAGGCAGAAGGATCGCCTGAGTCCAGGAAGTCAAGGCTGCAGTGGCTGTGAGCGTGCCGCTGCACTCCAGCCTGGGCAATAGAGTGAGACGCCAACTCAAAAAAAATAAATAAGTAAAAAGCAACTGCTGCAGACACAGGCATCCACCCCCAGAGCATATGTGAGGGCTACGCTCATGTACTTCTTGGTCTTTAAATGACACCCTAGGCAAGCTTGAAACCCAGAGGCCATCCTTGACATGCTCCATCAGGTTAAGGCTCATCTATTTTTTTTTTGAGTCAGAATCTCACTTTGTCACCCATGCTGGAGGGCAGATGAAATAGTCACCACCCACTGCAGCCTTGGCCTCCTGGACTCAAGTGATCCTTCCACCTCAGCCTCCCGAATAACTGGGACTACAGGTGCTTGCCACCACATCTGGCTAACTTTTATTTTTTGTAGAGACTGGTCTATACTTATGACCACTAGGCTGTGTTGCCCAGGCTAGTCTCAAACTCCTGGGCTCAAGCAATCTGCCCACCTCAACCTCCCAAAGTGCTGGGATTACAGGCAAGAGCCATCATACCTTAAAGTCTGTCTATTTTATGTCCTAAACGTCTCTCTGATTTTCCCACTTCATCCACCTCCACTACATTTGTCAAAGCCTCCATCCTCTCTTGACCGGACACTGACACTCTCCTCACCCCTCCAATCTGCTCTCCACCTAGCGGCAGAAGAAATCTTTTCAAGACACAAAACTTCTTACACCTGTCACTCCTGGCTTGGAAGTATGCTGTGGCTCCCGACTGCTCCTCAGGAAACAATAACAAGATCTGTACCAGCGACCAAGGCCTGGTATTGTGAGGCCCAGGCCTTGCCTATCTCTCAGCCTTGCCTCCCCCACTTCTCTCCACCCAACCTTGCTCTGGGCTCCAGCCAACCTTCTTTGGGCTCTTTGGTTCTCCCACTTTGGGGCCTATGAAGCTGCTCCCCTCCAGCCTCCCCACTGGAGAAACTTCTATACACGTCTAAGGGTCATTTCCTCTCCTTCAAGCCCAAACTAAATCAGGACCCCATTATTTACTCTCTGAGCTCCCTTATAGTTTTCCTTCATAACAATTATCAGACTTGTGATTATTTGATTAATGTCTGTTGCCCCCATCAAAGCACTCCCGAGGCAAGGCCCCTGCTTGTCTGTTTTGTTCCTTGCTACAGACCCAGGACGCAAGCATACACAGCAGAAGGCACTAAGGGAGGGGAAGATCAGATTTTTGTTTTTTAATATTTTACACAAGCTGGGCTCGGTGGCTCAGCCTGTAATCCTAGCACCTTGGGAGGCTGAGGTGAGTGGACTGCCTGAGCCCGCGGGTTCGAGACCCGCCTGGGCAACTTGGTGAGACCTCATCTCTACAATAAATCAAGAAATTAGCTGGGCGTGGTAG